TGATCCCCGAGTTTGAACCGATGCTGAAGTCAGAGTTATTATTTCCAGCTAGGCTGTATGAAAGGGTATCTGAGGTGTCCTGGTCAGTTGCTGATACTTGCAAAACTGTTGTTCCTATGGGTACATCTTCATCAAGTGACGCGCTGTATGGAGTGCCAATAAAGTCAGGATTATCATTTTCATCTGAAACGGTAACTGTCAGGCTTGTCCACCATTTCCATCGCGTACAATAACACTAAAAACATAACTGGATTTCCTTTCGTAGTCCAATGCGCCGCTTAGTGAAACTAACCCAGTAGAGGACAGGATAGAAAAGTCACTGCTTCCTACCCCTGAAAGGAAATATTCCAGTGTATCACTGCTGTCCGTATCGGTGGCGCTCAAGGTATAGACGGTGGCACTCACGTTATTTTCTGGTACTGTGACTGTATAAGGGGCGCTATTGAAAGCCGGAGAATCATTTGTGTCTTTTACAGTAACTGACAAAGCTTCTATTACAGTGGTAGAACCATCCGAAACGGAAATATTCAAAGAATAACTGCTAACTGACTCGTAGTCTAACACTTGTGTTGTTGTAATAAGCCCTACAGAAGACACTGCAAAGTGCCCAGAATTTGTGCCTGCAATGCTATAGGACAGCGAGTCACTTGCGTCTTGATCAGTTGCAGTAAGCTTTAACACCGTGGAACCACTGACTAGATTCTCGTCCACTTCTGCAGAAAATGGCGCGCTTACGAAGACGGGGTCATCATTTTGATTGACAACTGTCACATTGAGTGTGGTTTGAGCTATCCCACCGTTTGAGTCCGAGGCGGTGATGGTTAAAAGATAAGACGAGATGGATTCATAGTTAAGAGACTGACTTGATGACACAATACCGCTGACTGGATGGATGGAGAAGTCTGCACTTCCTGGACCAGATAACAGAAAGGTTATTGAATCACCTGAGGAAAATTAAAAGGAAATGGTGTTAAAATCATAGGCGTTGTTTATATGGATTGCGCGTCCTAAAACCAAACCAAACATTCACCGCTTTCACAGATACAGTCACCCGACGAACAGTCATGCATATTGAAACAAATACACTTCATAGCATAGTTAGCAATAACTAAGGAGACAGGGAGTACTCCAGTCAAAGCTAGTTTCTGTTTTCACTTTACATTACAGCGGCTTTCAATCTACAATTCAAACTAGTTTTAGCTAATTTTATTAGTAGTTCTAAGGATATGCTGCGCTTCGCTTTGTCATTAGTCTAAGATCCTAGAGCAATTATTTAACCAGTTACAGGCCTAGTGTAAGGAAAGAAAGCCCTGGTATTTATTTTTCCAAAATGCTTACCGGAATCTTGATCTGTAGCGCTGGCTGTATATACTTGTCTGGCAGCCTCGTTTTCATTCACACTCGCAGAGTAAGGTGAATTAGTAAATACTGGAGCATCATTTGTGTCCCTGATACTGATGGTCAGCGGTTGTGATACTATGGATGTTCCATCAGTGACGTTGACAGTCAGTGAGTAAGAGCTTGTCGTTTCATAATCCAGGGACTGAGAAGGAGAACAAAATAGTCGAAGAGATAAAATGTATAGATTTACATAAAAGCTATGTAGTAGTCATACAGATGATCATTAGAGAGTTTTAGATTCAAGGACAAGGAACACTACGATCAATACTGAGTACTGCACATACGTGAGCCAGCTTCATTTTGGCGGGAAAAAGAGGTAGCCGTCATCATTCTACTACACGAATGTCGTAGTGACGGGAACAAGATATCAAATGTAAGAAGTTTTATCATTTTGCTATCGGGATAGGGCTTAAACTCCTTCAGTATAACCGTACTAACATTTTTGGCGAAAAAAGTAAACTGAAGCTTTTCCGGGGTGTCTATTTTTTTGAGAACGTACGCATAAACTTCAAGTTAAATCTCGCACTCGTTTTTGTTCTCGTCCTCAAATCTAAAGCACTCTATTTCTTGCCTTTAGTACGGACTGCAGCTAACGTCCCCGTCAAGAATAGATTAAAGACGTATGAGTGAAATAAAATGCCGCGACCTACGCGCTTCGATCCACTATTAAAAAAACGATGTCCCCAATAACGAGTTCGAAAACTGGGCCAAACCAAAAGAACGGATCTGCGAGGGCTGGGTTTCTCTGGTACGATTAGAATCAGGATAACTCGACTCCGGAAAATCGATTTTGAAAATGAATTCTGTGTTTCTTTAAAGGAATCCAGTAACGAACCTCAAAGCCTCTGAATCCAGAAACAGAGTGGACCCAGCGGATTAGTTCTTAATCCAGATACGACAGATTCGGGACCCTTAGCGTTGTGTTGGAAATGGATTCCAAATAGCAAATGGGACATTTTTGTGTCTTTTTTTTATTTTTTAGCTTTCAGCGACAAGTTTGGTGGAACTGACATAACGCTTTGCCTCCCAAACCCCAGTTTTTCTAAGCCTGAATAACACTGTCCTCTGGAGAAATCAATATCCAACGGCAGGAGGTCATCTGCTCCTGTCAGTTGATAAGTATTAGGGTATCCAATTGCGGTACACAGTGGATAGTAATTTATCCCGTAGATGGCGTTATCTGCCTTATCAACAAATTGGGCCAGGTGTTTCTTCCGACTAGTTACCTCGTTGTTTTGAACTGGACTCGGATTTTCCCCGAAGAAATGCTGCTCTGCAAGGACATGTCTCATTTATTTAGCGATTGAATGCGCCTTCAAAGTAATCTTGTACCCAGATCTCCCACGGCTAAGGGAGAGGGAGATCTCACTTTTCAGCGTAAGACAGAGTGAGACCTGGGTACGAAATTACGTTCAAAGTTGGGTGTGCAATATAAGGTATCAGAGGATGAGTATTACCTGGCTTGTGGTGATGATTCCAGTTGCTGAGCCAATGCTAAAATCACTGCTACCAATTAAAGTAAACGTCAAAGAGTCACCGTCTTGATCTGAAGCTGCTAAAACCAACACAGTACTGCCAACAGCTGCATCCTCACTGACACTTGAGCTGTAAGGTGTGCCTAGAAAGGCGGGGTCATCATTTTGATTGACAACGTCGACATACAATGATGTTGTAGCTACGCCTCCATTTGCGTCGCTTGCCCGTATCGTTAGCGTATAACCGTTGACTGTTTCGTAGTCAAGCGCGCCTGCTAGCGACACCACTCCACTGCTTGAATGAATCGAGAGTAACTCACTTCCTACGCCGTATATGCTAAACGAAATAGCATCGCCGTCATCATCTGTGGCTGAAACAGTAAACAGGTTTCCACTCTTGATGTTTTCGTTAACGCTAACGTTGAACGGCGCGTTAGAAAACGTCGGAGGGTCATTTCCGTTATCAACACTAATACTTATCCCTTCAGTAACTGTGACACTACCGTCCGATACGGACACAGTCAGTGAATACGAATTGATATTTTCCCTGTCGAGTTCTTGAGCCGTGGTGATAATGCCAGTACTTGAACCAATGCTAAAGTGGTTATTATTGGTTCCAGAGAGACTGTACGTCAACGAATCAGAAGGATCCTGGTCACTAGCAACAACCTTTATCACAGTAGTCCCCACTGGAAGATTTTCACCGATGTTCACACTGTAGGGTGTGCTTAGAAATTGCGGCGAGTCATTCTGATCTACAACTGTTACGTTTAAGCTTGTAGTAGCTACTCCTCCATTTGAATCTGATGCTCTGATTGTGAGATAGTAAACGGAAGTGCTNACTTGAACCAATGCTAAAGTGGTTATTATTGGTTCCAGAGAGACTGTACGTCAACGAATCAGAAGGATCCTGGTCACTAGCAACAACCTTTATCACAGTAGTCCCCACTGGAAGATTTTCACCGATGTTCACACTGTAGGGTGTGCTTAGAAATTGCGGCGAGTCATTCTGATCTACAACTGTTACGTTTAAGCTTGTAGTAGCTACTCCTCCATTTGAATCTGATGCTCTGATTGTGAGATAGTAAACGGAAGTGCTTTCGTAATCTAAAGCATCCGCTAGGGTGACCACGCCTGTTGTTGGATTGAGCGAAAAATCCACACTTCCGGTTCCGGTTATTGTAAATGTCAAGGAATCGCCATCGTCATCCGTGGCACTGACCGTGTAAACTGCTGCTGCCGCATCGTTTTCAACCACGGTGGTAGCGTACGGTGCGTCATTGAATGCAGGCGCGTCATTAACGTCACTTACTGTGACTGACAGCGATTCAGTAACAGATAAAGTACCGTCAGTAACGGTGACGTTCAGGGAGTATGAGCCCACTGTTTCTTTGTCCAGCAATTGGGCAGTCGTTACCAGGCCAGTGGATGAAGAGATCACGAAATGACTGCTGTTAGTTCCGCTGAGCGAGTAGGTCAAAGAATCACCGCTGTCTTCATCAGAAGCTTTTATACGTATCACGTTAACTCCTGTTTGGAGATTCTCTGCGATGCTAACACTTAATGGCGTCGAAAGAAAATTAGGAGATTCATTGATGTCGTTTACAGTTACGTTGAGATTTGTACTTGCGCTGCCTCCACTGCCGTCTAAAACAATAACAGACAGAAAATACGATGATCTTAACTCGAAGTCAAGAGCGCGAGAGAGAGTAACCACACCTGTGGAAGAGTCTACGACAAAATCCCCCGAACCCGAGCCCAAGAGGATAAATGACAAGGTGTCAGCGGTATCCTCATCAGAGGCACTCACGGTGCAAACAGATGCGCCTACGTTATTTTCATCAACGGTTGCAGAGTAGGGTGCGTTAGTAAAAGAGGGCTGATCATTTTTATTGTTGACGCTGATTGTTAATGATGTTGTTACCGTAACGGTTCCATCGCTTACAGAAACTGTGAGAGAATACGAAGTAACCGTTTCATAGTCTAATATTTTTGCTGTTGTAATAACACCAGAGCTGCTGGAAATTGTAAAGTCAGCGTTGTTGGTTCCAGAGAGACTATAAGTTAGCGTATCTCCGCTGTCATCGTCGATGGCGGATGCAGTGAGAACAGTAAATCCACTTGTCAGACCTTCATCAATGGCCGAAGTATATGGTGCCACAAGGAATTCTGGGCTATCGTTTGCGTCAGTAATGTGATTGTGAGGCTGGTGGAGGTGAGGTCGCCATTTCCATCAGATACATGAACTAGAGAAAAAGGATCAAGTTAAGGCTAATTTCACACGCCCGAAGCGGACGAATTTTCGACCGACTGAAAATTTGACCACACACTTCGTTCACACGGAACCGTTCCAGGGGGTCAGTAGTGAGTTTACGGAACAGGACGGCAGAAAGAAGAGGACGGAAAAACGCCTGTGTGTGAAACGTGATAGAGCTATTACTTGCGTGTTTTGTCGTGATCGATCTTCACTTATTTTAATGTTTTCTGGTCTTTTAAAAAAAGATCTGTTTAAAGGAGAGTGAAGTTTGGAGAAAAGATTTTTCCAACAAAATTGTTGTCACGCTTGTTACACAGGGTTTGCCGTCTTCTTTCCTCTCCCGTTCTGTTGCGTAAGCTCGCTAACTTGAACCAAGAGCCGGCAACTTCCATGTACTCATTTCACGAGTTTATTACTGACCTTAATGACGTTTAGTTTCCAATTTTAATATCTTATTCCTCGGAAGCACTCGTGGAAGGAGCAGGCTAGAGGTTCCATTTTCGCGAGAAAAAATGCTTTTAAGCGTATCTAAAAATCACAGGGGGCCCACACAATCTGTTTGTGTAGCCGATTGTTATTTTATAGTAAATGTACTGGATTTACCGTTTGCTTCACCTATGGCGATATATCGCTAACTATGTATATAAATCAATGATAAATAAACGTTGAATTACCTTACCTGTGGTGTATTCAAAGTAGACAGACTGCAAATTATCTCAGTTGCTAAAACATATATATCTACGTGTCGCAACTGTTCATCAGTAGGATACCTAAAATGCGTGCAATTCCACAATTGGTTTCGGCTCCATTAAATCCTATACCAATTGCAGAACATTTTAGGAGGAGCCACCCACCATGTGAGCACAGTCACGGACAATGTATAAGTGAGGAAAATAACGCAAAGTCGTCCTTTTGCCTCAAAAGCGGTTTTTTGAGCGATTTTGAATGAATTTGAGTTCGCCGTTGACTGTTCCATATAATAGAAGGACAAGGGAGGTATCCTTGTTTTGAAAGGGTTCCAGCGCCGGAGCGATTTTCCCCCCCCAAAATCGCACGCTCCGCTTTCAAACTTCGCAGCATAAAGGTCAAAAGATTCACGATTCTTCTCGTACCTTCCAATCGAAAATCCATCCAAACGGCCCGTAGCTAGCCCTCGAAGAAAATCAAAATCCCACAGTATTCGAGCGACTGGAATGCGTAGCAAGATTCATACGTGCCAGCCGCAAACCGTCCCGCTGATTGCCTTTTTTTTTTATTGGATTTCGTTAAACAACAATCGCAAGGCAAGGTAATTCAACGTTTATTTATCATTGATTTATATACATAGTTAGCGATATATCGCTATAGGTGAAGCAAACGGTAAATCCAGTACATTTACTATAAAATAACAATCGGCTACACAAATTTTAAACAGATTGTGTGGGCCCCCTGTGTAAAAACAAACCCGTCCGTGAAAACGCCGTGACATCTGCCTAATATGGGGGTTGCTTTCTCTGGGTTATGAGCTCCTGGTCAGAGTCACAGTAATATTCAAGGATGCTTTCTTTGTGGGTTATGAGCTCCTGACCGGTTAAGATTTTAGCTCTGTACACGGAACTTTAAACCGCTAGGCCTCTAAATTTTTGTAAGGTTAAAGTGGTTCTTTGTGAACGGAACATCTAAACGCACGAATTTTTAACCGGTCGAAAATAAGTCTGGTGCCATGTGAACGGAGTCTAAAAGTAAAAAAACTTTAGCCAGGCATTTTTGTAGCTCATGCTTAAGGCGGATTTACATTGTAAAACGCGCAGCTCTGCTCAACTTTCGATGCAGTCAAACATTTCCTTTAGCAACAGACGTTGGGATTTAGGTCTGAACTAAGGATGTTTGCAACTAAATCAGGATTCAGAATTGGAATCAAAAATGAGACTTAATGTGGTATAAGTCAGTGTAAGGAAAAGATTTTAGCTAGAACCCCAACGTTGCCTAAAAAATTTATGCTTACCACTCAAGCCAATGTTTGTCATAATATGTTAAAATCTGACGTAAGATAAACAGAGTTGAAAATCTTCATAATTGATCATCATACAAATGTGCTGTAATTCTTGTTGACCTCGTCCTCCAATTAAGTATGGCATTAGAAACCGTCACTTGGATTTAAAGCTTTCTTACAAGATTCATATATGGTATGAAGTTACAATTTTGTCTCTAATGAACTTTCCTAGTAAACTCTCTATATATATAAATATATCACTTATTTACTCACCGGTCACGAAATAAGAGGTCGTATCTTCGTAATCCAACGCCTGGGTGGTTGTTACAATCCCAGTATTGGAATCGATCGTAAAGTGCGTTACACCAGTTCCCGACAGCGTATATGTTAACGAATCACCGTCCTGGTCACTTGCATCTATGTCGTAAACACTCGCTCCCACGGACACATCTTCGGAAACGCTCGTGGAGTACGGAGAACTTGGCAAGGTAGGTGCGTCGTTTTTGTTCGTCACAGTTATCGCAACTAGCTCGGAATCACTTGCTACACCGTCGGAAAAAGTCACCGTTAAGTTGTAACTGTCTTGAATTTCGTAATCTAAGCTAACCCCTGCCTTGATCCGAATCATTCCTGAGTTAAGGATCTCGAAATCGGAACTCCCCGACAAGCTAAATAAAATGCCATGGCCATCTTCATCCGAAGCAGCCGTCTTTAAAACATTTGTACCGCTGGGTTCGTCTTCCGCGATGGTCGCCGAGTATGGATTACCGAGGGAGACTGGGGCATCATTGGCATTCGTTACCGTAACAGTAAGTGAAGTTTGCGTGACACCACCGTTGCTATCAGACGCTGTGACTGTGAGTGAGTAGGATGAGGTAACCTCGTAGTTAAGTGCGTCAGTGAGCGTGACAACTCCGCTGGATGCATGTATAGTAAAGTCTGAGCTTTTTGAACCCGATAGACTGAACGTGACAGAGTCTCCTGAAACAAGGAGAAAAGCATGTAAAGCTTTGGTTAAGAGTCTATACCGATTATTATACAAACAAAGCAATTGAAAGAACTTAAAGTGGATTTCCACTATCGCGTAATCATGTTTTACGTGCGTATATAAAATAGAGGCAATGTATGGAGGTCGAGCGTAAATTTAAAACGGTTGAACCTCGCTCATTGGTAGGCGCGGCCTTCCATGCATTGTCCCTATTTCATTGCCGCTCGCGAATTTCAATTAAGTTACGCGTTTACGCATTGGAAATCCACCCTTGATCACGGTATTAAGAAACTCGCGTGAGCAAAACGGTGGGATATTTTTCCCAGAATTAATCAGATAAAACTCTTGCTTCAAAGGCGGACCCAGACCCTCAGATAAGCAGATAAGGGAGGGGACCCTGAGATAAGGGTGGGGGAGGGGGGGTATCCAAAAACATTTTTGCAGCCCTTCGGGCCTCAGTATGGTTTAAAAACAAGGTGGGGGCCCGGGCCCCCCGGGACCTTTCCCTGGATCTGCGCTTTCTCTAGAAAGCAACGTTTAGCCGCCATAGAGAGTGTTAGTAGTGTAAAAGAAAAAAGTAATTTCAACACTTTACCTGAATCTGGATCCGTAGCACTAACAGTAACAACACTCGCTGCAGCGTCATTCTCCGCTACCGTGGCAGAATATGGTGCCCCCACAAACGACGGGTCCTCATTCACATCGCTGACAGAAATAACAACAACTGCTGTATCGGTCAGAGAGCCTGCGTCTGTTACGGTCAGCGTCAAAGAGTAGCTGGGTGTGCTCTCAAAATTCAGACTTCCAGCGACTTCTATCTCTCCATTGCTCAGCACATCAAACAAGGACGATCCTAAATAAAAGGGAATCGATAATTTCCTTCACGTTATATCAGACTCAAAAGACTAAGATGATTTAGCTTTGATTTTGATTTGTTTTTAAAAGTCTGGACGAAAAAGATCAAACACTAGAAAAGGTGTTTCACCTGATATCCAAGAAGCAAAATGTATAAATATAACACGAGAATGAGTGTTTCATCTGATATCCAAACACTGCGTAGCCTGCAAACACAGACGTATTTTCGGGTGGAGAGAAGGGACGTCCGGAAATACGTCTGTGTTCGTGGGCTAAATATTGCGCGGTTATGTGTCAAACAGGAGAAGGAGTGTTTCATCTGATATCCAAACACTGCGAGGTAGTGCATCAAACACGAGAAGTTTCATCTGATCATATCCAAACACAAAGATGTGATGTATCAAACACGAGAAGGAGTGTTTCATCTGATATCCAAACACTGCGAGGTAGTGCATCAAACACGAGAAGTTTCATCTGATCATATCCAAACACAAAGATGTGATGTATCAAACACGAGAAGGAGTGTTTCATCTGATATCCAAACACTGCGAGGTAGTGCATCAAACACGAGAAGTTTCATCTGATCATATCCAAACACAAAGATGTGATGTATCAAACACGAGAAGGAGTGTTTCATCTGATATCCAAACACTGCGAGGTAGTGCATCAAACACGAGAAGTTTCATCTGATCATATCCAAACACAAAGATGTGATGTATCAAACACGAGAAGGAGTGTTTCATCTGATATCCAAACACTGCGAGGTAGTGCATCAAACACGAGAAGTTTCATCTGATCATATCCAAACACAAAGATGTGATGTATCAAACACGAGAAGGAGTGTTTCATCTGATATCCAAAAAACAAAGAACAGGTTGCAAAACCGAGGGGTTGCCTAGCTTTTGCTAATTTAAGCAGACTTCTGAGTCCAGTGAGGAAATGAAGCCCTTTTATGCATTTGTTTATTTTTGGCTAGTTTGTTTGTTTGTTTTAACAACATTTCTCAAGGAAAGAAACTATGGTCGTGAAGGTGACATTTCTAAATCCCTTCTTATAATAGATCCTAACTGTGGAACGCTAGAAAATAAATCAACTGGTGGAAAGTTGACGATTTTTTTCTTTTATCGACGAAGATTTCTCGGGCCTCAATCAACCTGAACGTACCTGAGCCGGACAGACTATAGTTCAGCGTGTCACCGCTATCAGGGTCTGTAGCAGGTATGGTAATGATGTCAACTCCATTGACACTATTCTCAGCAATGACACCGCTGTATGAGGATAGCGTGAAGCTTGGAGCTTCATTCACATTGACAACCGTGATAGTTACGCTCGCATTTGCTGTTTCACCTTAAAAAAAAAAAACAAAGGCCTTGTTTAAACGATTAGTAGCAGATCCAGGCGGACTATACTGCAATACAGATGTTTTTTAATTACTGAAGAAACAAGGAAAAAACCATTTTACCACGTAAAACATATTTTTGATTTTATAACTTTTCTATAAAGCACGTCTATAGAAGGAGATTTTGAATTTCGGCGACTGCGCAGTAGTGAGTTAAATTAACGGCAGCCTCTTCAAATTACGAATTAGGAGAGAAAAATAAGACGTACAAAAAAAATAATTTACACAGAAAGAGAAAAACCAAATAAAAAGACATTTTGTGCGCTTTAGGAATAATGCAAGCTTTTTGTTCCATAAAGCTCAGTAAGCTATATGCGAAATCAAAACAACTGTATTCTCAATTCTTCATAAATGAACGACTTGTCTTGTACGCAACTTCGGGGATGAAGGGCTGGAGTAAAATACGCCAGCAAATCAAACTGAATCATTTCAAAATGACGTTATTTATTCCATAATCACCTGCAGCCTGAGCTTGAACCGTCAACGAATAGGAGTCCTGTGTCTCAAAGTCAATTGCCAGTCCATTAGTTAGCACAGATGCCCCAGCCCCACTCAGTTTAAACGGCCCTGCTGAACTGATTATAGAGTAGGTGATGCTATCTCCATCGCTGTCAGTTGCCGAAAGAGTAATGCCGCTGACTGTGGTGTCTGTGGGTACGTTTTCGTTGACAGTGCTGCTGTAAGAGCTGGAGCTAAACACAGGCGCGGAAGCTAGGCAAGAGAAACAAATTGAAAAGATAAACTTGACCTGACTTAGTAGGTATAGGAAGAGGGTGTCTTTGACAGTTGACGGTTAAATTTTTCCAATGTAAAGCTTTGGTTAAGAGTCTATACCGATTATTATACAAACAAAGCAATTGAAAGAACTTAAAGTGGATTTCCACTATCGCGTAATCATGTTTTACGTGCGTATATAAAATAGAGGCAATGTATGGAGGTCGAGCGTAAATTTAAAACGGTTGAACCTCGCTCATTGGTAGGCGCGGCCTTCCATGCATTGTCCCTATTTCATTGCCGCTCGCGAATTTCAATTAAGTTACGCGTTTACGCATTGGAAATCCACCCTTGATCACGGTATTAAGAAACTCGCGTGAGCAAAACGGTGGGATATTTTTCCCAGAATTAATCAGATAAAACTCTTGCTTCAAAGGCGGACCCAGACCCTCAGATAAGCAGATAAGGGAGGGGACCCTGAGATAAGGGTGGGGGAGGGGGGGTATCCAAAAACATTTTTGCAGCCCTTCGGGCCTCAGTATGGTTTAAAAACAAGGTGGGGGCCCGGGCCCCCCGGGACCTTTCCCTGGATCTGCGCTTTCTCTAGAAAGCAACGTTTAGCCGCCATAGAGAGTGTTAGTAGTGTAAAAGAAAAAAGTAATTTCAACACTTTACCTGAATCTGGATCCGTAGCACTAACAGTAACAACACTCGCTGCAGCGTCATTCTCCGCTACCGTGGCAGAATATGGTGCCCCCACAAACGACGGGTCCTCATTCACATCGCTGACAGAAATAACAACAACTGCTGTATCGGTCAGAGAGCCTGCGTCTGTTACGGTCAGCGTCAAAGAGTAGCTGGGTGTGCTCTCAAAATTCAGACTTCCAGCGACTTCTATCTCTCCATTGCTCAGCACATCAAACAAGGACGATCCTAAATAAAAGGGAATCGATAATTTCCTTCACGTTATATCAGACTCAAAAGACTAAGATGATTTAGCTTTGATTTTGATTTGTTTTTAAAAGTCTGGACGAAAAAGATCAAACACTAGAAAAGGTGTTTCACCTGATATCCAAGAAGCAAAATGTATAAATATAACACGAGAATGAGTGTTTCATCTGATATCCAAACACTGCGTAGCCTGCAAACACAGACGTATTTTCGGGTGGAGAGAAGGGACGTCCGGAAATACGTCTGTGTTCGTGGGCTAAATATTGCGCGGTTATGTGTCAAACAGGAGAAGGAGTGTTTCATCTGATATCCAAACACTGCGAGGTAGTGCATCAAACACGAGAAGTTTCATCTGATCATATCCAAACACAAAGATGTGATGTATCAAACACGAGAAGGAGTGTTTCATCTGATATCCAAAAAACAAAGAACAGGTTGCAAAACCGAGGGGTTGCCTAGCTTTTGCTAATTTAAGCAGACTTCTGAGTCCAGTGAGGAAATGAAGCCCTTTTATGCATTTGTTTATTTTTGGCTAGTTTGTTTGTTTGTTTTAACAACATTTCTCAAGGAAAGAAACTATGGTCGTGAAGGTGACATTTCTAAATCCCTTCTTATAATAGATCCTAACTGTGGAACGCTAGAAAATAAATCAACTGGTGGAAAGTTGACGATTTTTTTCTTTTATCGACGAAGATTTCTCGGGCCTCAATCAACCTGAACGTACCTGAGCCGGACAGACTATAGTTCAGCGTGTCACCGCTATCAGGGTCTGTAGCAGGTATGGTAATGATGTCAACTCCATTGACACTATTCTCAGCAATGACACCGCTGTATGAGGATAGCGTGAAGCTTGGAGCTTCATTCACATTGACAACCGTGATAGTTACGCTCGCATTTGCTGTTTCACCTTAAAAAAAAAAAACAAAGGCCTTGTTTAAACGATTAGTAGCAGATCCAGGCGGACTATACTGCAATACAGATGTTTTTTAATTACTGAAGAAACAAGGAAAAAACCATTTTACCACGTAAAACATATTTTTGATTTTATAACTTTTCTATAAAGCACGTCTATAGAAGGAGATTTTGAATTTCGGCGACTGCGCAGTAGTGAGTTAAATTAACGGCAGCCTCTTCAAATTACGAATTAGGAGAGAAAAATAAGACGTACAAAAAAAATAATTTACACAGAAAGAGAAAAACCAAATAAAAAGACATTTTGTGCGCTTTAGGAATAATGCAAGCTTTTTGTTCCATAAAGCTCAGTAAGCTATATGCGAAATCAAAACAACTGTATTCTCAATTCTTCATAAATGAACGACTTGTCTTGTACGCAACTTCGGGGATGAAGGGCTGGAGTAAAATACGCCAGCAAATCAAACTGAATCATTTCAAAATGACGTTATTTATTCCATAATCACCTGCAGCCTGAGCTTGAACCGTCAACGAATAGGAGTCCTGTGTCTCAAAGTCAATTGCCAGTCCATTAGTTAGCACAGATGCCCCAGCCCCACTCAGTTTAAACGGCCCTGCTGAACTGATTATAGAGTAGGTGATGCTATCTCCATCGCTGTCAGTTGCCGAAAGAGTAATGCCGCTGACTGTGGTGCCTGTGGGTACGTTTTCGTTGACAGTGCTGCTGTAAGAGCTGGAGCTAAACACAGGCGCGGAAGCTAGGCAAGAGAAACAAATTGAAAAGATAAACTTGACCTGACTTAGTAGGTATAGGAAGAGGGTGTCTTTGACAGTTGACGGTTAAATTTTTCCAATTTGTCAAATGAAGATTAAATCTTTTTAAATCGTTTGACGGTTGACGGTTATTAAGTGGAAATTTAGTACAAAAGTTGACGTAAAATTAACCTCTGTATGAATAAATATCAAGTTATGTGTTTTGGAGGTTGTCTTGACTGTCTATTCGCTTATAAAATTTCGAAATATTTTCAGATGTAAGGAGGTTGTAAGGTATTGTAGTGTGTAAAAAGAGTCTTTTGTTTGAGAACATGGGAATCCGGCGGTTTTTCCAGTTTAGAAATTCGTTAGGAGCCGGAATTCCGTGAAGATTAGCTGAAATAAATGGTGAGATTTCAAATACTTTGAAACTTTTTTACGGTTAATCTTGCCCTACATTTTTGACGGTTGACGCTAAAAAATAACTTTTTTGACGGTTTACGGTTAATTTTAAGGCCTTTTGACAGCTGACGGTAAACCCCACTGAGACCCTCTGATCTATTGACTTGAAATAAAATGTTCCGAGTAAAAGTACAATGGACTCCGTTTAACAGATGCTTCTTTAAGATTGATAACTCCCAAAAAGGGGTAAAGTCAGAAGAGTCCCCGCCGTTCTCTGAGTCAGTCATTTTCATCGACTCTCTCGGCATTCCACAACACGGCGGACACTTCAGTCTCTGACCTCTCTCAGTTGAGTCCTTAACGTTGTGCACTCGATCATTCCTAATAGTTGGATTATGCCTTAACACTCCTCACACGTAGTTGACAGTATTTAGTTCCCTATGGTTATCACTTGATTATTTCATGAAACTCTTGATACCGACTTGGTAGACTGACTAATTTGCCTATCATTTAGCAGTACATGTATTAGATTCAAATATATAGGAAGTTCATGAACAGTGGTTTGCGGTTTTGAAACCGCATAATAATACTTAGGGGGAACCGTCTACAGGCGAGACCTCCGAGGGATGAGTTAGACCATAAGGTTAGAGTGCTTCAGTGAGACTACTTTACAACTTGGCTTGACTGTAACTGTTGACCAGATTAACAATTATTTCAGAGAAAAAGAGGGAGGATTGTAGACTGCCTATTTTCAGGACTGCAGTGAACAAAATGATGCGTATGGATGCAAGTTTCTTTGAAAGTGGGAAATGTATTTGCGTTTTCAAAAATATGGATACATGAGGACGGCACCTCATGATTGTTATACACAGTCTAATAAAAGCAGAGATTCTTCCGCAACAGTTAACCAACGAGATACTTTCTACACGGTCGTACGTCAGATCCGCTTGTAAGCAATTTGTAACCTGTGTATACTTTAATTAGAATCGATGGTAGGTTAAATCCTATCGCCAGTATATGAGCAGGAAAAAACCATGTGCTAAAAAGAAAGAGCTCGTATGCTTCCGAAGCAATTTATCTTCTTAAATCTATTACGATAACCATGGACAGATATGACAGAACGCGAAATTTGCCGCTAAACTTTTACGTCCAATCTTACCGAGACAAAAAAGGAGAAATGGCAGTTCTGTAAGCGAGTGTTAAACTGATTATTTTGCGGTTACGGTAGTGTTTATATCGAAATGTAATCATCTTGTAAATCTTGAAAGACCAAAGGGGCTCAAATCATGCAGAAAGATAGAAGCCGGTATATTACACAAACAACGTATACTTTACCAATGTGTCGCAATTTATGGGTTGCTGATATCAAACAATCGTTAATTACACTGAAAAACACTTTTACCGAGGGATTCACCGTGGTTCCTTTACCAAATGAGTTGTGTAGTGAGCAAGGACGCAATTGCGGATAGAAAAGAAATCGCGTACGTAATCATCAAGCAAGTGATTTGTCTTCGTGTTTTTCTTTCAAATATGTTACCCTTACAATTTATAGCATTGTTTGTTTACTTCTGAATTGATCCTGTTATTGACATATGTTGTTAGAATAGAAATGAAAGTTCAAGCAACTATTAGTAAACTTACCTTCACAGTACCGTGTCCACGCTAAGGTTACCAGCCAAGCAGCTACCTTAAAGACATGCAAATGCATATTCTTTCCTTCTCGGCATTTTGCTCTGACAGCTTCTGTTAATAAACTGCGAGAGGATGTAGCTACGTACACCGGCTAAAAGTAATGTAGCAGCACTCTCCTAAGAGGTCTAAGAAGCAAAATGTACGAAGGTTTACATGTAAACTCGGATTTGGGGAAGTCGAATGATGAAAAATTATGACGTTAAAAGGTTACTGAAGCAGAAATGATTACCCCTTCTTGTGATGATCGCAAAGGGAAAAATTGAATAGATTTGTTTAAGGTTCAGCACGCTTTCATTGTCATTTGCTTTGTCAACTTTTGAAGAGGCTTTTGTAAATAGGTTACCATGGGTACACGCGTTATATCTAGCACCCATTAAATCAACGAAGATTAAACAGGACTTCAACTAAGAGTCTAGGTGGCTTATTTTTGATGGTCTATTAATCTTCACTGAGTCACACGGTCTTCAACGAAAGAGTTTCATTGGACAAGCACGATGCTCCACGTTGTCTTTCACCTGAGCTCATCACAGTAATTAACTGAGATTTCGGCTCAGTGCCAGGGTGTCCCGATTCGATCCTGACGCCCTAACGATCCATTTTATCCATTTTATCTATTTTCTGAGGGAGGGGGGACGTCTGTACACAGGCTAATCGTAAAGTCCCTATTAGCAAATCAACAACTTTGCACGTTCATCACGCTTATTGGACATTTCTTAGACCTCGTTGCACGACTACAACGTGAAAGTGCCTAATTTCACGTTCTGTCGAGGACGGGAACACAAGACAACAACTTTTCTTCTACCCGGTAGCAAAACCTATACCCGTTTCTCCGGGGTAAGAGGCTATCTACCCGTCAACGGCTACGTGTACGGGTAAGGCCTGACCACCTGTCCCGCCATAGAGAAACTAGGGCGTATCAAGGAGATACAGTTATCAAGTATCCCATTAGTTCCAGATCACCTGTTTTTACACGCCAATAAAAATATATTCTTTTGCTACAAAACCTGAATTCATTTTCTTTTAATGAATTTTTCTCCAGTTCTGAGCAGAGACATTCTTAGATTAGGACGATTTTCAGATCTCTTGGCTCCGGCCGATCGCTCCGGTGTTTGAAAACAAAGTTATGTGAGAAAGATTAGCACACAAAAAGTTAGAATTATAAAATCTAACTTTTATTTTTATGAAGTCTGGATAAAAGCATATTTGGCGTCATCCTGAGTCTAGCGATCGCTGCTAACAAGATTAGCAGTCTGGGCATAAGTGATTTTTTTTTTTTCCGGCCCAGACTGGCTAAGATTTTCATTTAAGCTTTTACATACCTTACCGTTTGACCACTCCAATAAGTCATCCCCGATGCTCTTTGGGCTTCATGATCTAGAAGAAGCTTTTGCTCCATGATTTTTTAATCTTTGCTCTATCACTCCATTATCTGCAAAATCAACATGGCGTCCGTACTTACAGTGTCAACATGAAGCTTTCTCTTGCCAGAGACCACGCCGCTGATGACGTCATATCGTGTCAAAGCGAAAAAACATGGCGGACCCTTTGTATTGCATTTGCAGACAAACATATGATCCGTCGCAGTTTATGATCCAATGCGATTCGTGCGAGGAATGGTATCATGGAAGGTTAGCTTGACCATTGCTTAAACTTTCGGTGTTAAAAAATTGGTAAATAATCCCATTTTTTCTTGTCTAGTTGTGTTGAAATTGAGGAATACCAGGCTCCCGACATCGAGCGATATCATTGCCCTGAGTGTGCGTTGCTACATGGACCGCTAACTCGTAAGTATCCGTATTTATTTTGTTTTCTACAGCTAAGAATATTTCTGAAATTGGGAGCTCTAAAGCTGCTGTTTATCGACTGTCTTGGGGTTCAAATTGACGCTAAAACTAAGCCGGAACGAAGTTAAGGTCACCACGCGAATTTCACAAAGCTGGAATTAAGTGCTACAAAGTAATTTTGATACAATAATCCATGAATGAAATTGACTTTTGGCTCGTTGTATGTCACGGAATGAATGAAGTTTTAACTGGGAATTAATATATCTCAGCAAAATTGCATTAACTCTGCTCATTTTAGTTGTTGAGTACGTGCATATAAACACCTGTTTGATTGAATAACTCAATCAGAGCCGAACTAAGTTATCCCGCACGTTTTTGTTAACTCGTTTCTTTACAGAAGCCAACAGTTGTTTGGTCTCTCATCCCCTTATTAATACTCTGTGAAAAGGTTTGTCTTAATCTGGGTTTTTTAGTTCTTACATTTCTAAATGATTTGTTTTGAAACCTAAAGGCGAGTGTTGTTGTTGTGCTGTGAAAGGATACCGATAGCTCTTTGTACTGATACGATAGACGATACTTCAATACCGTTGTACTCTTTCAAAACTCTGTTAATAACCAGTAATACTGTTTGATGCCTTCTCCTGGATATCAATCCAATAAGACTGGTTGTGTGATGATGGTAAAGGCGGCTTAAAGCAACGAAAGCTTTAAAAATAATGCTATATGTAGTATATATTTGATTTAAAGTTTAGAGACGTTAATTTTTCTTTATTACTATAATCTGCCCGATGTCCTTATACTGAGACTGTTATATATTTGTTCGGCCACATAAATAATTTGGGCTTGAGAAAAATGTTTTTGATTTGTTTTGTTGTCATTTATAGTGTACTATAGCTGTTTCAGTTGACTGATCCCCATAATTCAGGTCATAGTACAACTGTAATATTCCAGAAAACAATACAAACCCTTATATGTATGAAGACATGTTTAAATACAACGTCTTTGCCATGATTTATTCTAGGAATTTGCCGGTAAATGAGGGACGTCCCATCCCTTTCCGAAATATTGTAGAGGGCCTTTACTCAATCACCCTTTTGCAATTTGAAAAAAAAAAAAACAATCACACTTCACTCCTTTGTCTGTATGTATCACTGTAAAGAGATTCATAAATGTTTCAAGCACCAGCCCCTTGCATTGCTTGTCAGAGATAATCAAGGGATTTTTGGTTGCATGTGGTTTACATATTGAACAGTAGATCTACTCTATTGGATGAGTGTACTCTATTGTATATAGGGCCACAAATTAGACTCTTCTCTAAGTGATCTAGTAGGTTTTTATTGCTTGACAGCTAGGTAGGGTGTAGCATCTCCTTCATCAACACTAGATCAGTGTTTGAATTTGGATCAGACCTGGTTATGTTGTTACGTTGTATTCTACCTGCTTAAAAGTTGATCATTGTTGCTGCATTGAAAAAATCACATTCAGTGCATTCACTAAATCTCAGAATTTTTGTCGATATTAATGTCAGCTTAGGTAATGTTTGTGAACAAATTTTCAAGCACTTATAAAAGTTTTTCTTAGAACTCCAATCAGAGAATTATTGCAGACTCCTTTAATCCTTCTTCATTTTTTATTTACAGTCAAAAAGCGGAGGAACTGGCATCGTCATGACTACAGTGAAATAGATGATGGATCAAAGGTAAGGATGACAATAAAATGGATGTTGGAATGGACAAACATTACCCCAAAATAATTCACTATCGTTAATTTTTGTCAGGTATAATTATTTAACATCTTTATTGGATGTATGAACTCAAGATGTCAAGGATGGCTATTTGCATGATAGTTAATTAGTTTCAAAAAAGATCACGGGTGCAGTAATTCAGCAGGGTTCTTACATGTCATGGGAAACCTGAAAAGTCATGAAATTTTTCAGGCCTAAAGAGTCATGGAATTTATGTGGAATTTAGTCACTGTACTGTCCAAGCAAAGAAAAATAGGGCAAAGACGAAAGAGTTATTTCAAAAATTACTCTAAAGCAACGATAAGTTTGAAACTTTTTGAAAGGAACAGCTCTTAACCTAAAGGTTATGGTAAAAGTAATGGAAAGTCATAGAATTCAAAGAGCTCATAAAGAAAATGCCAGTAAGGTTGCTTATTTAAAGAATAGGCAAGTTCAGCAACAATTTTAGTCACCATACTGGCAGATCACATTTTTCTATTTTAATATGGAACTAATTAAAACAGTTGCAGCCAAATGAGTACAGTCAAACCTGTATTAAGCGGACCTCTATTAAGCGGTCACCCTCCATTAAGCCGTCACTCACCAAAGTCCCGGAAATCATTTCCCTTAATTACCGTGAAACTGACCTGCATTAAGCTGTCACTTATATTAAACAGTGGCGGTCACCTTTTCTGAGGTCCCAACAAATTATTTTTTATTGTCTTCACCTCGATTAAACAGTCACTTTGAGAAGACTAGGGTTATCAGAAAGTTTTGAAGTAGACGGCAGAGTTGTCAAAGTAAGCGGCCAGTCCAGGGATATTTTATTTACAAAACACTGTCAATAAAGAAATGCACTGCAGAGTAGCCGGCCAATACTAACCAAGAAGGGGGCAATTTTCACCTGCAGCCGGCTACATTTAACAACCCTGGAAGATGTACCGTACTAGTACAACAGGTCACACTGTGTATGGCGTCAAATGGTCTTTAACCTTTTTCTTTTGGCCCAAGAAGAGGTAGAAACAGGTGGAGGTCAATTTGTCGTGTGACATATATTTCACTCTTTGACTACCTTCATTTTCTTGAATAACTCTCACGTTTGCCAAACCTGTATTAAACGGTCAAACTGCATTAAGCGGTCAGTAAGCCATTCCCAAAGGGTGACCGCTTAATACAGGTGTGACTGTACTAAGGTAACATTTGGAGTGGACGTTTGTGACAAAGTAAGTAAAAGTATAGTGGACTGGTCGTAATGATGTTTTCTACACTTTTGATTTTGTAGGCAGTTCAGACAGGGACTGTTGCATTTATCAAGGAACTGAAGATCAGAAAATTCAAGTAAGTGAGCTCATAAACGTCTCAGCCCTTTATTGTGTGTTAACATTGGATGCCAAGCATCAGCAAACTTTGAGCAAAGCTGGGTCACATTCTTGGTAAGAGGTGTCATCTCACCATTGTACCATCTTTTCTTTTCTTCCAATAAATGAGCACCTCAAAAGCAATATTTTTTTTCTGATTTAATGGTGTTTGTTGCTTGATTGTTAGAGAGGGAAACATTGTACACAAGCTTGCAAATGGAAAAGAGCTTACTGTGGACACCTTTGAGAAAAATGGCTTCAATAGGCCAATACTCGTTGCAAAGAAAGAAGGTCTTGGAATGATCATACCAGACAGTAATTTTTCTGTCATGGATGTGGAGCGATGTGTTGGTATGTGTAATTTTATGTGTACATGAAACAGAAGTAATACCCCTTTGCATCTTATATTATAGTTTTGTAGTGCCAGTTGCTCTGACTGATATAATGACGAAACAAGGACTTTAACAAAACAGTAATCTGTCACACTCCTAAGAAAGTCTCTATTGTTAACCCTGTAACAAACTCACTCTGTACCTCTCTCTCTTCACTGAGATCTTCATGTTGATTAAGATCATGTTAATTATTTTCAAAAAATGAAGAAATTAATCTTAATTTGCAGGTCCCATGAGGGAGCTGGATGTGATTGATGTCTGCAGACAAGTAAGATTAACTAGAACTTTTTTCTTGTCCATTTTTTTAACAGATTGAGTGACAGTTTTTTAGCATTTAACCCTTTAAGCGCCAATATCCACATACCAATTCTCCAAACTGATCTCTATACATTTCCTTTAAGGAATTAGTTAAGAGAATTTGATGAAAGATCAACGTATTTTCTCTTAGGTGATCATCTTTTTTTTAATTCTCATAACCTCATCTCATGACAATGTATGGATATCGTTAGGAGAAAATTGGTGTTGGTCACTATTGGGACTTAGGGAAAGTTCATTTAATATGACAAGGGGGGGGGATGAAGATATTGAAACTCGAAGCTTGAAATTTTAGCAGCCCCCCTCGCTAGTGGTTCAATTTTTTAGGAGCCCCGTCCTTGGTAGTCGAAAAAATTTCAGAGCCCCCCCCTCCCCCCCCTCCTCCTTCAATTCCTTTGCTCCCCTGAAAAAAGATCGCTAGACTGTATTAAATATATTTACCGTTATTGTCTTCAATGGTTTATACTATGACAAACTTTATGTTCAAGGTGGGGGTCTGTTGGGATGTTGGCATAGCCAAATTGTCGGCTCCCCCCCCCCCCAGGCCAGCATTTGCTTCCCGCCCCCCCCTCGCGTGTTTCAAAATTTTCCGCGCCCCCCCCCCATATCTCCAACCCCCCCCCCCCTTGTCATATGAAATGAACTTTCCCTTAAAGGGTTAAAATCATTATTTACCTACCAATGTAAAAACAGGCAGCAGTTAAAATCAATTAATACACGTGTGCTTTCTAATTTATTTGACAGGATGATCACCGTATGCGAATGAGAGAATGGACAGAATATTGCATGAACCCAGTAAAAAGAAAGATCCTGAATGTCATCAG